GATAATATTTTTACATTGTAATTCTTTATAAATAGCATAGATGGAGCATCTGTAACTCGTTGCATGCTAAGGTTATGTTTTCCCGGTGTATATACGAAATTACGTCTGCTGTTTTGCGTCTCTGATTAGAAATGGTAAGAATTCTAAAGAATTCATTAAAGAATTATTTAGTAAAATAAATATCATGTTTTATTAAAATGTAAACTGTTATTTCTTTTAATATCAAATTTTTTGAGGCACGTAAAAGCGATTAAATACAATGTCGAAACTGTCAAAGGTATATAGCTATTTCATCATCGTTTTAATATTTATGAATAAGTAGTATTATTGTTGCAAAACGATAATAATTTTGATATAAAAACAGTCACATAATTTCTGTAAAATGTTATTCAATATAATATGAGAGGTTGAGATTTAAAAAAATTAACTATTGAAGGTTAAGTCTTTACACCATAATTGCATAAGAAAATGCAATATTTTATTACCGATATAAGGTACTTTGTGTGTATATGTTATATTTGAATTGTTTAATAAAAGTAAAAAAATAATTTTTAAGGCGAGTACAGTTGTAGCAGCTGGTGTTGGTCTCGCTGTTGTGGGATTTGCTGGTCGTTATCTGCTCAGAAAAATGCCAAATTTATCACAAAGAATGGCAGAGACAGTGAAAAAGCTAGATTCTCAGGTAAAAATGTTTACTTTTTAGCATTTTTAGCAGTTTAACAGATTTCGTAGTTGTATTTGCTAATGTTTTCTTCACATTTGTAGTCATTAGCAAACAGCAAGTATTACAAGGGTGGTTTTGAAACAAAAATGACCAAACGGGAAGCTAGTTTGATTTTGGGTGTGTCGCCCACAGCTAGTAAAGCAAAAGTAAAAGAACAATTTAAAAAAGTGATGAGCGTAAATCATCCAGATCGTGGCGGTTCTCCATATATTGCTGCAAAAATCAATGAGGCAAAGGATTTGCTTGAGAAATAATGAAAAGAGATTATTTAGTCTATTTGTAATATATATTTGGTTTATATTGATTTAGGAATTTTAATGTACATAATTATTAATATAATTTAATCTTATATATTACCTATTCTATAATAAATGAACTATTTTTGGAACTGCATACTACATCTCTGATTATATTAACTTCGATATTTTTAATAATTAAATTGAACGTTTTATAGAAAGTTTATGTGCAAAGACATTATAAAATCGGTATAAATTATAAAATTACAAGCATTTTGTTTTTTCATATGCTTGCTTAATGTCCTTATGTCATCTTATCACAATTATACAACTTTCATTGTAACTTATATCACAATTATATTTCATTTTTAAACTTTCGGTATATTAATTTATAATTTTTTTATTATAGCATATATACAATAATAAGATAAACGTAGAATAATTGAGTAAATTCTTCTTACATTGCTAAATAAACATTGTATGTACAGCAATAGCATAGAATAATTATATAATAACAATATAATACAGCTTTGTATACATTCATTTTGCAAAAGATGCAAATGAATAACATAACGACTAGAATAATTCAGTGTATATGAAAACATTCGGTTACGAGTACTATCGTCCTAACTTGTCTTGTTTTTGTTCTATACGTTGTTGCGTTACCTTCGTTCTTAACTTTGCTATAGTATTACCGGGCAGTGATCCAGGTACCTTAAAAATACTCTGCAAAACAGTTAAAAATATCAGTTTCAGTAAAATTGGATTTAATTCAATATTTAGGCTATATACACAACGTGTAGCTATATACCTGCATAAACTCGTGACATCGTAAAACAATACTATCTTTTGTAATTTCCTTGAAACATTCGGCTAACGTTGTAAAATCTTGACAAGCTAGCAGATTAGCTCGGTTTCTTTTTATAAGCGTTAATGCAACACGGAAGATAATCTTGGTACCCTCGTAAAAGAGGCAATCCCAAATACGTAGAGTAGTCTATAAATTCAATATTATTCAACATTTTCGATCTTTCATAGCAAAAATATTTTGGATTTTTATATATAAAATAAGTGATACTTATACAAATATGTATGTATGAAAAATTATCTAATATTTTAATAATTTTGATGTACCTCAATAGGTAAAACTTCGGCGAATAAGCACACAAACCATTTTGTTGTAATTACTGGCCAAGGCAATCCTAAATTTGCTACATGTTGATACACATCAGGCATTTTTATCCTATACATAAATAATATAAATACAAATGTGCAAAAGACCAGTGATAAATGAAACTTTAATTTAAATTTTATTATTTTACCTTACTAATTCTGCGAGTACATCAATGTCAGTGAGTAGACCATCCATAGTACGTGTGTAATAGTCTGGCAAGATTTTGTCAATTAATACTTTCAGTAACCAAAATGCTGTTTCTTCACTTTTTGTGACAAGCAAAAGTAAACCGGCTATGTAGTTTAAACCCTAAAAAAGATATTAGACACTTTATCTGAATAGAGTAACAATAGTAAATATTTGTTTGAAACTACCTTTATAAAACTGTTTATTATTCATTAAATTTTATTAAAAATTTCTTTATTAATCTACTTGTACACTATATACTTTGAATGTCTTACTTGGCAATATCCAACAGTTTTGTTTTGATGAGCAAAAGCTAATAACACATTATATAACTGATGCTGTTGATTCTCTGTGTTATTAAAGAATATATTATCTGGAAATGTTCTTGGGAGATCAGTTTTTATGATTTCAGCAACTTCTGCATTATGAGGAGACAATAATAATTTTTGATAAAGATCTGGTGATGCATTTTTCAAATCTTCTCCACCACTTACAGCAAGCCATACCTATAACCCAATTTTTTTGCTTATTTTTAAAACATACAAATTTATAATACAATAAAATGAATCTGTAATTATATATTACCAATCCTCTATGTTCTCCTGGAATACCTTTACGAACATATTTCTTTATTGTAATACTTCGTTGTAATGACTTTCCCTCACCAATAATCTTCGCCCACTTCTTGGCCATTTTTGCGAGAACCTTAAGATATTCTGACATAAAATCTTCATAAGTGTCATAATCAAAATCACGTGGTCGCTCGAAACCATACTCGTCCACATCACTGGAAATAGATACAATCTTTTTTACTATTACGTGTAATTAATTGATTACTAAACAAATATATTGTATTCTTTAATTATTTCAATTACATATATGTGAATTGATACACGATAAAACCACACAAATGAAAAAAATATAAAAGATGAATTTTTATATGTAATGTAAAAAGATAAATTGAGGGTTTCTTAATTTATCTAAGGAATGTGTGTGCGTGTATAGCCAACATAACCTCGATCAAATAAAATTAATAAAAAAAAATAGACGCGATATTTTTGAGTCGTCGTATCCGCGGATATTTATAGAATGTAAAAAGCAACTTGATATATTATTCTACGGTTAAAATCATAAATAACATTCACCTGAAGCATGAGCTTGCCATGCCAGACGTAATTCGGTGGGTGTCAAACAGATCTATGGTTGCATATGTATATAGATTCGTCCATAGATATTTTATGTGTGCCTACGAATTTTGCTTATCGATGCAAGTAACATCAGTCACAGAAGTACTCCGAAACACTGTGCGTTATTCTTGCTACACACGAAACGAGCAGCGGATCTCACGAGCTGCGCGTGTTTTGTTACTTTCAGTTTGTGTAACAATTGGTAACAATGAAACAGATATTTGCAAAGATATCTATGACAAACGTCGGATTATGAAAGATTACTATCGTAATATATTATAGTCAGGAAAAGACGCGATATTTCGTAATCGTTGCCACTTCTAAATATAAATCTCGTTGCTCGCATTTGTAAATTATGTACTGATTATTTATTACCGAGACGATGACTAATCATCGAGCAAAGTTATTGGATCAAAGTAGATTAATCGTGCAAACACGTTGGATGATTCATTCGTAATACATTTCTAGCTATGCTTGCCGCGAAAGTTATCGTACGGCCATCAAATTACATTTTGCTTACAATAATAATTTGAAAAACGTGTCAATCGATTGTGTATCGAAGAGCGTACACGCAATCGAGTTTCAGTCGATTGTTAGTAACTCAGCATCATGTATGCTCTCGTATCTGAAGTCTGAATGCCGACTGTACGATACCACATGGTAACGGTGGTAAAATGGCTTCGCCTATTCCCTGTGTCGCTGGTAAGCATTTTTTTAGGTATTTACTGATGCATGCCGTCGCGCAAAAGTGTCGGATTCTTAATTGATATCAATCGTTTGAAGGAAATCATCTCCGAAAGATGCGCACGCTGTACAGGCGATATTAAATGATATTCCAGTGGTGATCTGTTTTGCGATAAACGTGCTAAACATGTGTTTCGTACCATTGAATAAATCGAGCATATCTATAATAACAGTAATGTCAAAGAGAACAACATTCCTATTATAATGTTTACAAATTCTAAATATTTAGTTAATTTATCATGACTTACTGTATTCTAACCTTTAAATGCTGACGTGTTACTTTTCGAACGCCACTGCTGACGTAAGTTTTGCGACAGCAATAAAATAAAAAAAAAAGGAAAAGGAAAGACTCGCATATTTTGCTTTAATACATATTTGTTATAGAAGTTCCCTTTTAGAATTATTTTATGGAATGATTTTATTGTAAATCAATTTGTAATAAATGAATACAGGTTTATAGTCCAGCTTGTGCACATTTATAAATTACTTTTTATTGTTATTATAATGGCTAACACATTTTTCATACAGTGAGAGGATCCACTGGTATAAACCTAGGACAAGGTCCACCTTCTTACGAACCAGTCAAAACATTCCCCAAAGATGAAAGCAGATCATGCAAGACTATGCTCTTTAGCCCAGATGGTAAATACTTTGCATGGGTTAATGGAGCTACTGTTAAAATCTTGTTCTGTGAGAACTGGAAGATTGCTGGTGAAATTGCAAGACCTAAAATCTGCGCTATTCACTTCTCTACTCGTAGCACATATCTTGCAACTTGGGAACCATCCTTTGGTAATTAGCTTTAAATTATATAGAATAAGGCAAACATTGAATGTTAATTTTTTGTACTTGTGATAAAAAAATATCATAATTTTAGTAACACAAACAAATCCTCATGGAACACATAATCTTCATATATGGAAATCTGAAAATGGTGAGCTAGTCCAGAGTTTTGTCCAGAAGAAACAGATTAATTGGTAATGTACCATGCTCAATATTACAATTTTTTTTAACTTATAGAATTGATTTAACAATTAGATGACGTTTAGAGTAGCGATAAACGACAACATTATAAAAGTTAATTTTATAACTTACACTTTTATTATTAAATAAGTAAGGCATACAAAAATTATATATTTATAAAAAAAATAGGGAGCCACAATGGTCAAATGATGAAAAACTCTGTGGAATATTGAATGGTGCAAATGTTCTTTTATATGAAGATAACAATTTTGATAGATATGTACACAAAATAAGCGTAGCCAAAGTTGCCAAATTTAGTATAGCACCTAGTAATGCTCCCTATCATATTGTCTGCTACATGCCTGGTAATTATATTTATGTATCTATTATAGTATTGTATAATATAAAAATCGCAATAGATATTAAAATGTGGAGATGGCTACTTGCTCATTTTTAAAATATTTAACATTGTAATAAAATTATTCTAAAATATAACAGCACTTTTGATGTAGATACTTAATAAGATACAATGGTACAGATGCTTTTTTTATTTCAATTTTATTCGTTATAAAGCACATTTATTTAATAGACATATTTTAAAGATTTTTAAATGGTTCTGAATATAAACTACTTAATAAGAATCTAAAAACACATATAACAATGATAAACACGTTGGTATTTTTGTGTATAAAACAGGTCTACAATGGAAAATTTTTTTAATTATTACACAACAGACAATTTATATATGTAAGTACTTTTCTCAAGAATTGATATGATACAAACATATGTTTATATGTTTGTGTGAGATATAAAAAATAATTTAAGTATCTATTAAGTATCTATTTAAGTATCAAATTATATGTGCATATGTATAATACAACTTAAATAGCATGATGAAAAGCAAGTGTTACACTACATTTTATTTATTTATAAATGCAACAAATTGCAATTACTTGCACATTGTTATTGAAGCACTCTCCACATTTAGTATCTTCTATAATAATTAATGATTTTATACACTTATTATTTATGAATTATTAAGTGTTGAGTTAGTATTAAAAGTTTTTTTAATTATATAATTCAGGAAAGCCCGGCCAACCTTCCTTTGGACGATTATTTAAATATCCAAAATTTGAAATTGGAGAAGCACTTGCAAACAAGAGCTTTTTCCAGGTAAATTGTTGAACATATTGTAATCGTTAGATATTTGCATGTTTCTTTTTCTTTTAAGTGTTGTTGTATGAATTTCAGGCAGATAGAGTCGATATCTATTGGAATCAACGTGGAACAAATGCATTATTGATGACAAGTACTGAAGTTGATAAAAGCGGTGCATCGTATTATGGAAAGCAAACATTGCATTATCTTAGCACGAAAGGAGACACTGCCATGGTTATGCTAAGTAAGTGAAAATTGAATTACTCTTTATCTAAAGTTGAATATATTCAAGACAAGGCTAAGATATATAGAATGTGTTCAGTATAATTGTAGAGTAATATTGTAACAGAAATTCTCTGGATTAGGTAAAGAAGGTCCTGTACATGCAGTAGAGTGGTCTCCTAAAAACACAGAATTCTGCGTGGTATATGGCTTTATGCCAGCCAAGATAACATTGTTCAATCTTAAATGTGAGGCGGTCTTTGAATTCGGCACAATATACAAAAATAGTATACATTATAATCCACATGGCAACAATATCCTTTTTTTACTACTTTATCATATTATAATAATTACATATAATTACAACAGTGCTCGTAATAAAAAATAGCGATAGGTGATGGTAATTATTTGATTATAATTTCCTTGACCACTGTGCACTATTGCTTTTGGCTGGATTTGGCAATCTTAGAGGTGGCATTGAATTGTGGGATATCGCTAATAGAAAACTTATTGCTAAAACTGACGCGCCAGATACTACAATGCTCCAATGGTCACCGGATGGTGAACATTTCGTAACAGCAACTACAGCGCCTAGGTTACGAATAGGCAATGGGTAAGTAATTATACGCTAAAAGAGGGTTAATATTTGCGCTATACGTGCTGTAATATGTGTATTAAATTATCAGATTCAAAATTTGGCATTACACTGGTTCGCTGGTATATCAACGACCATGGAATAATCAAGAAGAGCTTTGGGAAGTGCTCTGGCAAAATTTCCCTCCGAACACTTTTCCACAGAAACCTATCAGTTACAAAGCAGTTGAGGGTATTGCCAGTACTCCTAGTCAATCACAAGGTAACGGTTATTTTGATGAATGTTTTAAGAGTACATATTTCTAAATATAGAACAACTTCGGAATAAATACAGCGTTTGTGAATATTTTCGCAGCACCAAAAGAAGCATATAGACCACCTTGTGCCAGAGGACAAAATATCACATTTAAATTACATGACGACATGGAACCACCTTCTAAGCCAGCTGTAGAATGTAAGTATATAAATGCACGTAAAAGAATATCTTATTGTTAATTACATGAAACTTATTTGTAGCAAATCCATCAAAAGCTGCTTTAAAAATGAAAAAAAATCGGGAAGCAAAGAAGGCTAAAAAGGAATTAGAATCTAACAATCCTAATGTCAATGGGCAAGTTTCAAGCACAACGACAAATATAAAAATGGAATTAACCGATGACCCTGAAAAGAATAAAAAAATTAAAAAAGTAAAGAGTGTAAGTAAACTTAATAACTTTTTTTTTTATTACTGCCGCAATAAGGATTTATATACTAACAACTTCAACTTGTGTTTTGCAGAAGTTAGATCAAATTTCTAAACTGAAAGAACAGCTAAAATCAGGTAAACAATTAGAAATCAATCAACTAGATAAGATAAAAAAAGAAGCTGAATTGTTAAAAGAACTTGAAGAACTCACTTTATGATAAACCATGAGATGGTTTAAACAGAATTAATTTGATGAACAGCAAAAACTGCGATATATTTTACTACTTTGAAAACCAAAACGGTTTCAGACAACACTTCTGAGTGCAAATCATTATTTCATATTGTCAAAGGATGAATAATTTGATTTACACTCAAAAGAGTTTTGTCTATAACCGTTTTAGTTTAATTAGTTTTTGCTAATTTTTAGTTTAATTAGAAAAAAAAATTGACTAATGGTACTATGTATCTAGTACTGTTAGATAACTACATCTATTATGTGATTCTTGATTTTGCTAAAAATCGATAATAATAGAGATAGTTGCAGTGTCTACTACCCATCTTAATCAAAAATCTTAAACCATTGTGTGCAATTTAATAAGCATTATCAAGATAAAAGACAGTGAAAACTATGCTGACTAGCCGAAGACTTTATACTACAACTAAAAATTTATCAGATCTTTTTCAATAGAAATGTATTGTCACACAAGTATAACTTCCTTTCCACTTTATCGTTTTTCTGTGAAAATTAGTTCTCGAACTTAAGATCCTACAATTTATGCAGTAGTAGATTTTGCATTTAAATGGGAAAGCTTAACACTTTGCATAAGACTTTCATGTTGCTTTTTGCAATAAATAATTATAAGATTTAAAGATATCAATCGCTGTAAGTTTTTGACAAAACAACAAGTAAATCTGAGATATTAATTTTGAATTATGTTTTATATTTACAATTTGTTTTGAAATATCATTATTTTGATTATATTCATAAGTCATTCATTCTTTTTCATACATGATATCTTCAGATGACTCAAATGTATAATTTTTTTATCATATCACGATACAAAGTTAGATATGAGTTTTTCTTGTAATTTTTAAAAGATCTGTAGACAACATAAGTATATATAATTAGAGTATAATTAATAAGTATAAATAATTTTATACTTATAGAACAGTTTTTTAAAATGACAAAGATTGTTTAATCAAACAAGACGAAGAAGAATTAAAATTATGTACTTGTAGCAAAAGAACTGTATTAAATAATACATAAAAATTAAGTATCATCGATTTATCTATTAAGAAATTCATTTCCGTACAGTACAAAATTTTGCAGTTACATTGCATAAATGTTGCAACAATGTTATGTAGTTGCCAGCAATGTTCGTGCTGTATGGGATTACAACATGAGGGGACAGTAATTACACAGTAATTACGGATGTTATGTACAGTGAGATGAAATTTATCGAAATAAATTATTAAAGAAAGCATCAGTCAAATATCTCCTACTTGCTAACATAAATTTAACATAATACGATATAAAACACGAAACTAATCTGAATATTCAATTTCGAAAGAAATTGAAAAAGTGGCAAGACTCCGTAAAATGCGATCGTAATCAATCATTTGATCATGCGATTAGAATTTCGCATATCCATCTTTTTACTTTTACTTTTTACAACTCTCTTTCTCCACACATGCACAACACACATACGTAGCGGCGAAATATGATAGAAATGAGAATAAGAATGTTGATTGTAATTTTCTTTTTAAACCATTTACGTTCGCATCGCGTCCATTGAATATTCCCGCGCACGATAGCTCGACATTGTCGACGACGGCGCCGATAACGAGGAGGCCAATCGCGATTCGTCGTTCGCCACCCCGTCGTGCGCGCACGTCGTCTCGGGCACCACCGCAGCGCCGCCGACAGTCGTGTTTACAGATTTCCCAGTTAAGTTCCGTAACGTCACGTCAAAAAAGTGCAACACACGAATTTCTACAACGTTTACTATGTAAAGGTGCGTTCCCCGGTGACGGAGATGCGACGCAGTCGATCGTCCCCGGTGGGAAATCTCCGTCGGCGCGGCTTGCCGCGGCTCGCGTGACCGCGGCCAGTTATCGGGCCGAAATATCGGCGCTTTTGTTAAAACACGGCAGTGCTAATCGTTAGGATAGTCGCCATTTTGTCCGGAGAGGTAGCCCGGTCTGAGCGAACGGGGGCGAAAATAGGCGCTGCCTGGACCGCGAGGATTGTTGGAATCGCGTAGGTAGCGTGCCGCGTGATCGCCGTCGGCCGTCGTCGATCGCCAGACCCGCGGTACTCGGCGTGTCCCGACGACGACACGTCGCCACGGTCTGGGGTTCGTAATCGAGTCGCCGTTGTGTGCCCAGCGCTCGCTCGGCGGTGCACCGACTTCTCGTTCTCGGCGGCGTGTCCGCTCGACGCGGGCAACGCGATCGCGTCGTTTGCGACTTCCCGGTGGAGCCGCGCGTCCACGACGCACTTATCTCGGATAAGCGTCGACCGGCGCGCAACGACCGCTCCCTTCGTCGTCGATCCGCCGACGATTGACAGCTCGCTGCGTGCCAAGTACGGCACGTACGAGCGAGCAACGGTGATCCGCGACTCGAAATCGTATCGCTCACGCGGTCGCGCGATCCTGAGAATAGCCACTCGTCCTGCGACACCGCCGCCCTTGTTCGTGTCTCTTTCAATCGTGGCCCGTCCGCGTGCCACCGCGCCCGACGCCGCACCGTTAAAACGCCTCGACGTTCCTAATACGCGATCGCTTCAAGCCTATGCACCAAGTCTGCGCTCTGGCATGATCGCGCTGTCATGCGATTTCTCGTACGTATCGTGGGTGCATCTGCTCGACCACATCGGGCGAGAAATTTCGTCGGCTAAAGCGTGTCGTTGAATACGTTAATCTCTGTCGTCCGATTGTATCTGGGATTTTCCCGAAAACGATTATTATATTAGTCCTCAAATACATTGTGGAGATATATCATTTCTCAAGCTGTCACTTGTCATAACTTCTTTAGAAAATAAATGCTTATGTAACTGTGCCATCATGCAGTGGTGGCAAATTTAAATTCTTATGTGCTCGGATTGTAAATTGAATTTGATGACTGTTATCGCCACAATACAATTTAGTTGTACTACAAAGAATGTTGATGGTGCATTTGTGTAGCTTGTTGTGTTCTTTGTTACCGGTGAACCCCGCTATTGCTAAAATGCCCTTTCTTTGTTCCAGATAATGTAGGTATAGTTTATTAAAACAAGGCCTTTAGGATATAATTATATTTAATGTCAGTATATAAGCCGGATGCTTGTTATTGGTGGTGTAATCATTGGACCAAGAGACATTGAGACAATTACGACATAGCAAAGAACGTGTAAAATGACGATTGCCACTAGGGGCCAGGGAGTTGGCATAGACCCTCCCGACAGCCAGCAAAGTACACAGGTACGCAGACTTGAAATCTATTTAGCATATATTTGAAACGTGCTTTGATCGCATCGACTGAAGTGGATGAAAAATCTGTCTCGCACCACAGATGCACAGTCCACCAGGTCCGCAACAACTGGCTGACACAATGTCGGGACTTCAACTCACTGAGAATGTGGTACAAACTGAATGCAACAGTGATGCTATCACTACGGTAGAAGATAGCAATCAGCTTCATGGAGAACCTGATTTTCCTATTTCCAAACTTAATATGCTTCATGAAAAGATATCTAGTCCACGATGGGTTGTACCAGTTCTACCCGAACAAGAATTAGAGTGCCTGTTACAAGCCAGTATCGAGCTTTGTAAAAAAGGTAATATATTGTTTATAAATTTTTTATCTATTTGCATTATAAATGTTTTTTCGTGACTGATTCAATATGTACTTTTTTGTGTATGAAACTATATAAAAGCATTGATATTTATTATTTATAAGATGTGTCAATTCGTGTTCACTTCATTGCAGGAATTGATGTACAAAGCGAAGCGTGTCAACGCTTTTTTCGAGAAGGTCTCACAATCTCATTTACCAAGATATTAACAGACGATGCAGTAAACAGTTGGAAATTAAATATTCACAATTGTATTAATGCTAACTGTGCACGTTTGGTGGAATTATGTGTCCTGAAATTAGACGAGGATTGGTTTCCTCTTCTTGATTTGCTGGCCATGGTTTTTAATCCTAGTAATAAGTGAGTAGATATTTCAGTTGTCATTGATTGTAATTTAACTGTCGTTAACTGTATCACACAAGCGTTTGACTTTTAAGAAGTACTTACTACTTTGTGACACAGAAATCAATATTAAAATTATCGTACAATATTAAAATTAACTTTGCTTTCAGATTTCACACATTTAACGCAGTAAGAGTCTCGGAAACTGTTCCTCTTGGTAGTGATATTCCTGATGAGGAACTTTACGCTCGCCCACCGCCTGATTCACGAAGTCCTCGTGGTTGGCTAGTAGATCTTATAAACAGGTATTATTTTTTTTTTATCACTTTTATACATATGCAAGTATGTTTTATTTTAATACAAGTTAACATAAACTTTTATTGCAGATTTGGGAGTCTTAATGGATTCGAGATTTTGCTCTCTAGATTTCAGAGTGGACGTAATTTAACAGTGCCAGTTATTTATGCTTTAATCAGACCTTTCGGCTTGTGCTATGAATTATTAACTGTTCACACAATAGTTAAATATCTGATGCCTATTGTTGTAAGTATCTTGGCAATTTATTAATTTTTTCATTTATCAGATTAATGCAGAAAACATTGCTGCGTGCAGGAAATGGTACCTCTTATTTTGAATAACTTAACGGACGATGAGTTGAAGAAAGAGGCAAAAAACGAATCAAAAAACGATGCAATATCAGCCATAATCAAAGCTGCTAAATGCTTGGTGTCGCGCGTACCTCATCAGGAAGAGATGATAAAGAACTTGGAAATACTGAGACTGAAAATGATATTGAGACTCTTACAAATTTCTTCGTTCAATGGGAAGATGAATGCTTTAAATGAAGTTAATAAAGTAATATCTAGTGTTAGTTATCACCAACACCGTAATACAATAGTAGAGGAAGAGGAGTGGCTTACAGCGGAGCGTATGGCGGTAAGTCTCGCCCACAAATCGATAATACAATTTAATTTTATTTAGTATAATAATTCTTAAAGTGATTATACATGATACAAAAGTCTATCGTATATAAATATTGGACGATGGACTCGGTATCGACACACGTTTGACAATTATAAATATTATGAAGACTTTTAAGAAGCGCTTAATACTTTGTTGACACAGAAATGGATTAAGGACAATGGGGTGCTGGAAATTGTACTGAGAGATTCCTTGCATCAACCGCAATATGTAGAGAAGCTGGAGAAGATTTTACGCTTTATTATAAAAGAACGTGCACTTACATTAGAGGACTTAGATGCTGTCTGGGCGGCGCAGGCTGGTAAACACGAAGCAATTGTGAAGAACGTTCACGACCTGTTAGCCAAATTAGCTTGGGATTTTAGTCCGGAACAACTTGATCATCTATTCGAATGTTTTCAGGTATGTATCCCGATATTGTATAATGACGTCATTAAACTTATATTGAATAAAGCGTTTATATATATATCGATCGTATGCAATTATTCCAGACAAGTTGGAGGACTGCCAATAAGAAACAACGGGAGAAGTTATTAGAATTGATTAGGAGACTCGCAGAAGATGATAAAGACGGCGTTATGGCACATAAGGTGAGATATTAAACGTTTACATAACCCGCGTCTCATATTTCGAAAAATGTAAATTAATAAATTAATTCTTCTATTTCTGCAGGTATTGACACTTTTCTGGACTTTGGCTCATTCGGATGAAGTCCCTACGGAAATTATGGATCAGGCGTTAAATGCTCATGTGAAAATTCTTGATTACTCGTGCTCACAAGAAAGAGATGCGCAAAAGACAATCTGGCTGGATAAGTGCGTTGAAGAGTTGAAGAATGGTGATAAGTGGGCTCTTCCTGCGTTGAAGCAAATTCGTGAAATATGTTGCCTTTATGAACCAAATCCCAACTTAAGTCATAGTCAGCGTAGCCATCATTTGCATTACAGGTATGATACTGCTGTATTGTGCAAAAGTG